ATTTTCTGCAATAGAGGGACTTGTGTTCTCTGTTTTTTAGTCATGCTAGATTAAACAACAGAGTCTACACATATTATTATTTGTTGGCTGAGAATAGATCATAGAACATGATTAACATTTCCATATGACTGAGATTGTTTTTAGGGGGGGAAAGGGGAATTATAAACTGTCTTTTAGAAAAGCTTGCTCAGTATCACTGACTGAGGCACTTCTCATTGAAGAAAAGAAAATATGTAAATCCTATTCAATAATGGGCCTAATTATCTTGTAGTAGTGAACTGCTCTTTGTAAAAAATGTTTAAGACAGAGATTAAAGCAGCCATTGTTTTGATCTATTGTACATGTAAGACATATAAGGTCAAGTTTTTAAAATACTTTGTATCCAACGACTTGACCTTATACTATATGTCCTACATGCCACTTCAACATTTTTTCTTAATCTTCTAAGAATTCTTGGAACTATAAATTCTAGAATCAAGTTCAAGTATTTATAAAATATTACAATGCAAGGAACAGTAGAACAAGAATGACAAGTTTCTTCTTTTAATTGCAGTTTCTCTGTGTCTGCATATATGTTTCAGTGTATTAAGTTCAAGGGTTTGAAACAATTGATTATTTCACCAGGAATTTACAGTAGTGGTTCTCTCCGCAGACCTCTAAGGGGGTCGCGATGTTATCACTGGGGGTCCACAAAGATTCAAAGAAATTCTGTTATCTAAATCTTAACATTTAAGATCTGTTATGATCTTAAATCCCAAGTTAAGTCTTGGGAGTCTGTGGTCATGGTCCATGGCCACAAAACATATTTAAAGGGGCTCCAGCATGAGCAAAAGGTTGAGAACACTGATCTACAGGACATTCAAAAACATTTTGTTTATGAGGACAGAAATCAATAAAATATCCAAAAAAAAAGTTCACAGTAAAAATGAAAATATGTCCAGGGGGTCTTTAAAAAGAAAAAAAGAAGCAAGCTTGTTGTCTGGCAAATAAAAATTCAACACCCAAACAGCTTCATCAAACACCATCCTGTTTTTGCTGTCAGTAATGTACTGAAGAAAAATTATATGTAGTTTAGTCTGTTCTTGGTTTAGACTCTTAGCAGATGTTTCAGGGTAGTTCAGTTATAGATTATGACAGGGTCCCAATTCTCCTTTGTTTGAACACTATTGTTTCAATGAACCCAAAGTTTTTTTGAGTACTTTACCTCCGCCATCTCAATGTTGTTTTAGTTACTGTATTTAGTATATAGAGATATAAATTGTGTCTTGCATTTTCAAAATCAAAAATATCAAAATTTTGTTTAAAAAAGAACAAAGTTAAGGAAGAGAACTTGGTGAAAATTGAGGTTTTTTTATAAGGGGACTATTTTTACAACCCTGACCATATGCTCACTGTATTACTTGGGCGAGTGTTCTCCTCACTACTATCATTACAACCCCTGTAGTTTGCTCTGATCTTCTAAATTTAATCTTTATGCTCCTTGCCTTTGCTGATATTTTTTTTTAAGCCTTAGATGCTGGAGATATGAGTGAATAAGACAACTGTTTGTGGGCTGCAGCAAATCCCTAACTAAACCAAAATTTCATGCCATCTGTGCTACTGCTGCTTAAATGTATTCTTAGCTAATAGTACATTGTACATTGTCTTAATCTAAGCCTGGGTAGCTCATTAGAACTTCTGGAAATGTTTTGTTGTCTAAATAAACAGAAATGTAAACAGAGGTTGAATATAACTTTGTTTAATTATAACATTCATGTGTAACCTTCATCATGGTGGCTTTAAGCAGAATTCCTAAGCTCCAGGGTTGTTTTTATTCTAAACTAAAAATACTAAATAATAAATATTAGCATTTATTTTAGACCAATATGGCTCTTAGTGAAATATATTAGATCACGCTGACTTAAGTCATTTGGAAAAAGCTGTATTTAAACAAGTGATGCACATTTACAAAAGGAAGATATGAGCATTACATAACCATTTCCTGCCAGTCCATGCCTTGCTTTTTATTGAACCTTTGAATTTTACTTCATTATATCATCAATCATAGGACTGCACAGATCTTTGCAGATCAACAAAAAAGGAGTAAAGTGCCTTGGTGAAGCACTGAGGTGTGCCACTTCTAGCTGGTAGGGTGATTGTGGTCCATCACTTCACTTGGTGTGGATTTCATTACAGTGAAAAGTTTGATTGATCAAGGCAAAATATGTCCAACATAATATTTTATGGCAGGAGCATAATACATCCCTGGAGACTCTCTTCAATGCAGCAAGGCATAAAAGCAAGCTTCTATAAAATACATTATCTCACTGAGTTAGATCAAGAATAATCGTGGGAAGAATTTGCATGAAGAAAAAATAATTGCCCAAAGTATCTAATTAGGACATTCTTTAAATAGTGATTCAGAGGACTATTTGTCTTCTGAGTCTATGATGTACCACAAAAAATAAGGGTATAACCATTTCCCAGTTTGTTAGGAAATTATGGAAGTCTAAAACATGAAGCTATATAATGTGCTATACATTGTGGAAAATAGCATGGTGCAAAAGACAAGAATCTATACATAGCCACAAGGGCATTTCCTCTATTTGCCTCACTGTAGATTCTTTAATGTTCAATACACTATGAACTGAGTGAAGCAGCATACTCAAAATCTATTTAACTACTGAATAATGGATAGTTTAAAATGCTGAAATATATTGCCTGACTTCAACATCAGGAAATATGGAATGAGCCATCTTGTGTTAATAATTATTTTAAGTCAATATGGTATGTAGACAAAAAAAATTACTTCTGGTTAATATGGCAGATGTGGAAGAGTGTTGTGTGTTGCAAGCATATTTCTGCCTCTATCCATAATCTTATGAATATAGTGTAAATTCAAACTTCAATCCATAGCATTTAGAAGCCTCTTGGGTATATAGCTTATTTTTCATTGTATCCTCAAAAGCTTAAAGTTACCTTAGATTGCTTTGTGTATGTTATCATCCCACGTTGACTCAGATATTTGCTGTTGATTATGCCACGAGTGATTTAGAGGTTGAACCAACTGATCTGTTGAATATACTGTGCATATTTCAACTTCTTTAAGCAGCTATTCATTAAACTGAGACATTTTTTCTGATTATTTCAGTCTCATGAGTCTTAAGCATAATTGGAAAGACATTTCTTTTACCAAGTCTTCCTTGGTATTCATGTAGTCATAGATTAACATTGATCAAGTATTGCTTTATAATTTTTTTCCTCCAAAATTTTTTTGTAAAGTTTTTTTTTTAATTTTTAAACATACATCAATATAATTTCATGGACTGTGTGGGATCTGAGTGTCATCCATTTTGATACAAGAGTAATATTGATACAAATGAAAATTACCACATTAATCAGATTTATGTGATCTAATGTTATTATACATATTAATATCAACACATAGTTCTCCATTTTTCAATTTTCAATATATGCTACAACCTTCTAACAGTGATAGTAACCTCCAAAAATTCTATTTGTTTAGTACATTCTGTCTCTCTGTGAGCAAATAATAATCTGTTTGTCAAGGGTTTAAAATAAATGTGTTTCACTGAAGTATTTAAATCAAATCAAGTTTGATGAGTTTATTATTATTTGCTATTACTACTACATTTGTGTCAGAAGCACCTACTAAGGTGCTTCTTAATTGAAAGGATTAGCTGGTGACATCATCATTGCTTATGTCCCTGGTATTTTCCCACCAATGTGGTACCTATTTATCTACCTGTGTTTGCATGCTTTCAAACTGCTAGGTGGTCAGGAACTGGAACAATCAATGGGAGCTCATTCTGTCACGAGGCTCACAAATGGGTTTTTGAACTGCCAAACTGTCACCTCTCAGTGATCTTCTGACTCAGCATCCTAACCACATGAGTCCCTATGTCCCCATTATTATTTCCTTAAATGTATTGGCTTCCCAATTTCAGTCTATCAAATCAATTTAGAATATATTGGAGTCAGAAAATGTCAACCGTGTTGAAAAGCACTGATAGACTTCCCAATGTTTCTGGCGAACAGAAAAATAAGAAAAGATAGATTCTGTTTTCAGAAAACTCTTAACTTGAACTAACCAGGCTACTTCCAGATAGCAAATGAGATCATTCATGAAGAAATGTATGTGTAACCTCTTTGGTGGAGAAGTAAAATGTGAATCTAAGAGACATTTAATTTTTAAATGTTTTATATGCAAAATATTTTAAAATATTTACTGTCAGATTTCAAGTTTTAAAAATAGATTATTAATCTGTTTTGTATGTTTTAGACTATGATCACTTCAGACTCAGATATATTATTGGTCATCTTGAAATGGGAGATGTGGTGCTGTCTATTTTTTATTAACAGATTATGATTCAAGTGTGAACTATGTGGCATGATAGATCATGATGTGGTTGTAATTTTCACTAGTTGTTCAAATGTGAACTAGGCTTTTAATATAATTAGGCCTTTATGGTTGGTACAATAAAGCATATTTTAAAAATTCTCAATAAAGCTATGTTTGCATGGTCTATCCTAACAATTACTTTCTTGTAAGCTGGACTGCTGTGATTACGTTGACATTGGCTTAATCTAGCAATGTTATATGCCATCCCTCCAGTACTTGGCATTTCAAGAAAGCTAAAATTAAATATTTATTCTGGGTTTATTATTTTATTTAGGATTTTTCTCTCTTTTCAATTATATTTGTAGATCTGCTTAGCCTGGTCGATTTAGAAAACTTTCTTCTTTCTTCAAACCCTTCTACAAAAGACATATACCTTGTTGTGAAATCACCTCTGGCTACCCCATAGAAGAGCTTTTAGAGAAGCTTTTAGAAAGCTAACAATAAAAAATATATTGAAAAAGAAATACCTAGTGATCAAGCTGAAGTAATTACTAGTACTAATCCTTGACAGCAATGTTTGTCATCTTTTTATACTATATCCTAAAAACACATTTTTCAGAAAATATATTCTAATATATTTCCATTTATTTCTGCCCAGTTCTTCTGTTCCTGATGTTTCTGTTAATTTGGAGCCTGATGTGGATTCTTTCAAAAAATCACTGACCACAGTCCTCTGTGATGCTACTCGTGATGTTACTTTGCTGACCACAACAAGGTAGGATAAGATATAACTGTAGTTTTAAGACCTGTGTGAACAAGAATATATTCAATATGCTAATTGATTCAATGTCTTTATTTAAGTGACACAAAGTTAAGGCAGCTGTGATAAGAGTTGTCTTAGCACAGTACTTCTATAATGTCCTGAATTGCTATGGACCATCGTGCACGAAGCAGAATTTGTCAAATTAAGACAGATTCAAACCCATCAATTATGTTGTGTTCCTTCATTTTATCGACGGTCCCTTTACTTCTTGTTTGTCATTGGGTGCAGCTGGGTTTTTGAATTACCATGTTTTATTTTTATTATGTTTCAGGGTTGTTTGATTTTAATTGATCATTTCCGGTTTATTTTGCTTTTTTCCTAAATGTTTGATCCTTTATTGTTTTGTAGAATATTTTACTCCATAGGAAAATTCTGAACATTCTCCAGAATAAATATTATGAGGAAGATTGGTATTTTTTTAAAAAGAAATTTCTGATAAATTTCTTCTGCATAGTGTTTAAAGCATCAGGATCTAAACTGGGAGGCTCTGAGTTCTAATACTACGTTAGAACTGTAAGCCAGTTGTTGCCCTAGGAAGGAAGCAATAACAAAGCACTTCGGAAAAATCTTCCCAATAAAATTGCAGGTACTTGTTCAGGCAGTCTCTGAAAATCAGATACATTTGGATGGGAGGGTGGGGAAATAATTATGTAGTTTTATTAACTTCAAAGAGCTTTGCAGAAATGTCTGGTAATCCTTGTGAAGTAGTTTGCTTCCTTAGTTCTTTCCTAAAAAACTGTTAAATGACATACTACAATTTTAACAAAATGAAATATTAAAACTTTGGAGATGTGTTTTTACCAGTAGACACACACATCTACTTTATCCAGTATTTCTTGAAAAGATGAAGAGCTATATACAATGACACTTTTTATTTCTGAGTGTGTGAGAGACAATTTGGGTGGCTGTAGAAAAATTCAGGTTTGTAGATTTTTGTTTGTTTTAAAGTCTGAAGTAGAAGATTTAAGCAAAAATTGGGATAATCTCTTATGGAGATGTTTTAGTTTTGAAATAAGTAAAATGCTTCTGAAGCAGTATTTTGAAACCTTTTTGTGTCACTTCAACTTCAGCATAGTTTATTGTTGAGTGATTTGTAGGAAAGACAGTAATATTTAGAGAACAGGGCTGCTAGTGTATTCAATAAACTGTCAGAGGAAGTAATTTAATCTTGGAAATGTTTGAAATAATTCTAATAGATTGGATCCTTGGCTTTATAGCTTAACAGCCTGGTAAGAGTCTACCACACATAATGCTTTTCAGTATAGTAGCAAAATCACAGTGCACAAATGTATTGTCATATTGTATATGTGCACCATCTGCTCATAGATCCCTGGGGCCATAATCTCATATCATGTTTCCATATTGGATGGGACTATGGCTTTCAGACACATAAAAAAATCAGTAGTTTCTCCACTGAACGTGCTAAATCTTGACAAAGGCAATTAAGAATTGGCTGTTAAGAATTGTCTTATCTATGTATCTATGAGAGAGAAGGAAGAGAGCCAAGTAAGCAATAGCAACAATTTTCACTCATTGAATACAAACTTGATGGTTTCTAGGAATTGAACAGATTTTTACCTTATTATAAACAGTCAATAAAGTTGCAGTCATATGCACTTACTATTTTAGTTAGCATTATGTTTTAGTGAAAGCCATTTTGCCCAGTGGTAATGCTTATCCTGACAATAGATTTGTGGAACTAAGAACTCCCAGGCGAGTGCTGGAAGGAAAGGAAACCTGGAGTGGGTCAATTCCCTACTTATACTAATTCATCATTCATTAGTCTGAGCAATTCTGTATTTGCAGATGGATATTTTAAAAGCTCTGTTACCAGCTGGTACGGCTGAGTGGTTATGTAATGCTTTTCCGACCCATTTTAAAATATACTAGAGACAATAGGAAAAGTTGATAACTTAAGAACCACTAGTTTCATTCTGCAAATGAATATAATGAAATGCAGAATATTCATTTGGAAATATTAATTAGTAGTTGCCATAGCCTTGGACAAGGTATCAGATCAGGTACATTTTCACATGAAGTGAACTCAAGATGGAGCACATGCATTTCCATTGGCTTTTCCTTACTGTGTTCTCTAATTCTACATCAAAGCTTTCCAAAGATGCTTCAGCAATTTCTGATTTGTAACTGCTTTGATAATAAATTCCAGGCTTCTTCCCCTTACATTATCAGTCTTTTCTATGGTTGTATTTTATTGCTTGTCCATAAAAGCTGACTTGCATTTCTGATATGTACTGAATAAGTATTAGTTTGAAAAAAAATGTCTACCTATGGATGTGTATATTAAAAGACCAATATACTGATTTCATTTTAAAATCAATATCTCAATAGAAATTAACTGGACCTTTTTTTCTCATACTCTTGCTTCAGAGGAATCTTCTTTCTTCATTGATAACAGAGTATTGTGTTGCTTGTGTAATAGTCATTTGAATATATATCTACTCCAGGGTTGGGCTTCTACTTGTTCAGACCAGTTCTATAGAACCAGTTGTTATGATTCTGCGCAGTTCGGGGAACCGGAAAATAGTGCACCTGTGCTGCGTACCCCTCCTCAGTCTTTTCCTTCCTGATCCCCAGAGAAGACTTCTGGGAGCAAAAACGCCCTCCCAGGAGACTTCCCTGAGGCCCCAAAATGGAGTGCAGGTGGGTGCTGTGTCCCCCCCATACTCCATTTTTTTCCTTCCTGAGCCCCAGGGAAGCAATCCTCCCCCCCCCAGGAGGCTTCCCTGAAGGCAGGAGAACCCAAAATGGAGTGTGGGGTGCTGCATGTCCCCCTAGAGTCCGTTTTTTCCTTCCTGGGCCCCAGGGAAGACTTCTGGGAGCAAAAATGGCCCCCAGAAGGCTTCCCCGAGGCCCAGAAGGCCCAAAATGGGGGGGGGGGATGCTGCAAGAAACCCCCCAAGCCATGCCCACTCAGTCACACAGCCACACCCACCTAGCCATGCCCACCTAGCCATGCCCACAGAACCAGTTGTTACAAAATTTGAATACCATCCCACTCTTATATACATTCTGTTTGGATTGCGATATGTGATATTTCATCTGAATGTGCATACATTGGGAAAATAATAACCTCAGTAGCAGCACCTGGCCAACATTGTCTAGACTTGCAAGATTAATTATTTATTGGATAGATATGGTCACCAAGGAATGCTAAGGCTGTTGACTAGAATAGGAAGTCAAGCAACTTGGAAAAAGCCAATGATAACCACTTCTTGAACATTAAAGAAAATTGCAAAAATGTGTTTACTGTATGAATTAACTAGGAGTTGTAGACAACTCAAGAGCATCTTTACTTAAATAGATCAACATTTCTATAATAAGGAAGTATTTTCAGAATGAGAAACGTTGTCTTCTTGGGAACTCCCTTTTACTATCAATTTTAGCAGTGACTTCTGAAAGGACTGTTGGAAAGCCTTTCCTGAAAATCACAATTAAGCTTCTTCAAGTGCTCTTCTGAGGTTGGTAGAAGATGGGACTCTTCACAGATGGCTGAGCATCAACAACTAGAGTCCACTAGCATTAATGCTGTTTATCACAGCATCTTTTCTGCATGCCCCAAAGTAAGGAGAGGGTCAGGAATTTAAGGATTACCTATGCTTATTCTGTTACTTTATCAAGAATAATCATATAAACTAAATTGCATTTATCTCTAAATGTATGGGACAAACTTCAAAGTAACAGAAATTAACTCCATATCAGGATAATAGCACAACCCAGCACAGCACAGCTGGAAGGGACCTTGGAGGTCTTCAAGTCCAACCCTCTGCTTAGGCAGGAAACCTTATATCATTCAAGATAAATGGTTGTCCAAACTCTTCTTAAAAACTTCCAGTGTTGGAGCATTCACAACTTCTGGAGGCAAGCTGTTCCGCTGATTAATTGTTCTAACTGGGAGGAGATTTTTCCTTAGTCCTAGGTTGCTTCTCTCCTTGATTAGTTTCCATCCATTGCTTCTTGTCCTGCCCTCAGGTGCTTTGGATTGACCCTCCTCTCTTCTTCGTGATGGCCCCTGAGAGATTGGAACTCTCCTATAATGTCACCCCGAGTCATTCTTTTCATTAATCTAGATATACCCAATTCCAGGAACCGTTCTTTATATGTTTTAGCCTCCAGTCCAAGCTTGAAATAATGCATATCCAAAGTATTTCTCTTTTTGGGAAAACTATTTCTGGTATTTATTTATTTTTATAAGCAGAGCGTAGAAGGATACAATGTACAAGCAGAGCACAGAAGGTTACAAAATGTCAATTGTGTTTTCACAACTGAATAATGCACATGCCATTAAAAGCCATCTTCCCCCCCCCCCATTTCTTTTTTAGAATTTAATTTAATATTTTCTTCTGCTTTTAGTACAAATATAGAACTTGCAGACCAGCTGGCCCATATACAAATGCTATAATAGGAAGTAGGCCACTGTTTTTTGTGGCAATGCAGATCAGAAAACACAGGTGCTCCATTGCAGTGAAAATTAAATGTACATTTGAACTTCTTCTTAAGTCTCACAAACTGGCCCCTACTGCAGTTGTTAATATTATTGATACTGGCACCTTTTCCTCACAGAAAGAACTTAATCTGGCATTTGCTCAATATGCCCAATTTATAAATGAGCAAGAAAAGACTTCATTTAACTGTTTGTCCTATAGTTTGAATATGTTACCCAACTTTCAGCAAATCTAACCATACTGTATCTGCCGAGACATATACCCCAATGATTTTTGGTCCTGTTTGTTAACTGAAATTCACTCCCAACATGTCCCTAACATGCTTATATTAATTACTTATCTTGTAATTAGTGCCCAGATTTTTTGTGAAGCACATAACATGAAATATCAATTTGTCTTTTTTATAAATAAGATTACATTCCCCTAAGTTCAGTCCCCCCTCTGATGATTTACAAAATATCCTGATGATTGCAGGACTTATGCAAAATA